ATGGCATTCGGGTGGAGGTGCTACTACTTAAAAATTAAAATAAAATTCTCTATTCTTCAGGATTGTGTAGGGCTCAGTCCCTACTAAATCTCTGGTGATTTTAGAAGATTGGAATTATTAAATTTAGAAGAAATAAATTTTTATTCTCGTTTCTACCAAATTTTGATTGTCTGATGGCATTCGGGTGGAGGTGCTACTACTTAAAAATTTAAATAAAATTCTCTATTCTTCAGAATTGTGTAGGGCTTAGTCCCTACTAAAACTCTGGTGATTTTTAGAAGATTGGAATTATTAAATTTGGCAGAAATAAATTTTTATTCTCGTTTTTACCAAATTTTGATTGTCTGATGGCATTCGGGTGGAGGTGCTACTACTTAAAAATTAAAATAAAATTCTCTATTCTTCAGGATTGTGTAGGGCTCAGTCCCTACTAAATCTCTGGTGATTTTTAGAAGATTGGAATTATTAAATTTGGCAGAAATAAATTTTTATTCTCGTTTTTACCAAATTTTGATTGTCTGATGGCATTCGGGTGGAGGTGCTACTACTTAAAAATTAAAATAAAATTCTCTATTCTTCAGGATTGTGTAGGGCTCAGTCCCTACTAAATCTCTGGTGATTTTTAGAAGATTGGAATTATTAAATTTAGAAGAAATGAATTTTTATTCTCGTTTTTACCAAATTTTGATTGTCTGATGGCATTCGGGTGGAGGTGCTACTACTTAAAAATTAAAATAAAATTCTCTATTCTTTAGGATTGTGTAGGGCTCAGTCCCTACTAAATCTCTGGTGATTTTTAGAAGATTGGAATTATTAAATTTAGAAGAAATAAATTTTTATTCTCGTTTTTACCAAATTTTGATTGTCTGATGGCATTCGGGTGGAGGTGCTACTACTTAAAAATTAAAATAAAATTCTCTATTCTTTAGGATTGTGTAGGGCTCAGTCCCTACTAAATCTCTGGTGATTTTCAGAAGATTGGAATTATTAAATTTGGCAGAAATTAATTTTTATTCTCGTTTTTACCAAATTTTGATTGTCTGATGGCATTCGGGTGGAGGTGCTACTACTGAAAAATTAAAATAAAATTCTCTATTCTTCAGGATTGTGTAGGTCTCAGTCCCTACTAAATCTCTGGTGATTTTTAGAAGATTGGAATTATTAAATTTAGAAGAAATAAATTTTTATTCTCGTTTTTACCAAATTTTGATTGTCTGATGGCATTCGGGTGGAGGTGCTACTACTTAAAAATTAAAATAAAATTCTCTATTCTTTAGGATTGTGTACGGCTTAGATCCTACTAGATGTCTAGTGATTTTCAGAAGATTAGAATTATTATATTTGGAAGAAATGAATTTTTATTCTCGTTTTTACCAAATTTTGATTGTCTGATGGCATTCGGGTGGAGGTGCTACTACTTAAAAATTTAAATAAAATTCTCTATTCTTCAGGATTGTGTAGGGCTCAGTCCCTACTAAATCTCTGGTGATTTTTAGAAGATTGGAATTATTAAATTTAGAAGAAATAAATTTTTATTCTCGTTTTTACTAAATTTTGATTGTCTGATGGCATTCGGGTGGAGGTGCTACTACTTAAAAATTAAAATAAAATTCTCTATTCTTCATGATTGTGTAGGGCTCAGTCCCTACTAAAACTCTGGTGATTTTAAGAAGATTGGAATTATTAAATTTGGCAGAAATAAATTTTTATTCTCGTTTTTACCAAATTTTGATTGTCTGATGGCATTCGGGTGGAGGTGCTACTACTTAAAAATTAAAATAAAATTCTCTATTCTTCAGGATTGTGTTGGGCTCAGTCCCTACTAAATCTCTGGTGATTTTTAGAAGATTGGAATTATTAAATTTAGAAGAAATAAATTTTTATTCTCGTTTTTACCAAATTTTGATTGTCTGATGGCATTCGGGTGGAGGTGCATCTACTTAAAAATTTAAATAAAATTCTCTATTCTTCAGGATTGTGTAGGGCTCAGTCCCTACTAAATCTCTGGTGATTTTTAGAAGATTGGAATTATTAAATTTAGAAGAAATAAATTTTTATTCTCGTTTTTACCAAATTTTGATTGTCTGATGGCGTACGGGTGAACCTGCTACTACTAAAAAATTAAAATAAAATTCTCTATTCTTCAGGATTGTGTTAAGCTCAGTCCCTCCTAAAACTCTGGTGATTTTCAGAAGATTGGAATTATTAAATTTGGCAGAAATAAATTTTTATTCTCGTTTTTACCAAATTTTGATTGTCTGATGGCATTCGGGTGGAGGTGCTACTACTTAAAAATTAAAATAAAATTCTCTATTCTTCAGGATTGTGATAAGCTCAGTCCCTACTAAAACTCTGGTGATTTTCAGAAGATTTGAATTATTAAATTTGGCAGAAATAAATTTTTATTCTCGTTTTTACCAAATTTTGATTGTCTGATGGCGTACGGGTGAACCTGCTACTACTAAAAAATTAAAATAAAATTCTCTATTCTTCAGGATTGTGTTAAGCTCAGTCCCTCCTAAAACTCTGGTGATTTTCAGAAGATTGGAATTATTAAATTTGGCAGAAATAAATTTTTATTCTCGTTTTTACCAAATTTTGATTGTCTGATGGCGTACGGGTGAACCTGCTACTACTAAAAAATTAAAATAAAATTCTCTATTCTTCAGGATTGTGTTAAGCTCAGTCCCTCCTAAAACTCTGGTGATTTTCAGAAGATTGGAATTATTAAATTTGGCAGAAATAAATTTTTATTCTCGTTTTTACCAAATTTTGATTGTCTGATGGCATTCGGGTGGAGGTGCTACTACTTAAAAATTAAAATAAAATTCTCTATTCTTCAGGATTGTGTTAAGCTCAGTCCCTACTAAAACTCTGGTGATTTTCAGAAGATTTGAATTATTAAAATTGGCAGAAATAAATTTTTATTCTCGTTTTTACCAAATTTTGATTGTCTGATGGCATTCGGGTGGAGGTGCTACTACTTAAAAATTAAAATAAAATTCTCTATTCTTTAGGATTGTGTACGGCTTAGATCCTACTAGATGTCTAGTGATTTTCAGAAGATTAGAATTATTATATTTGGAAGAAATGAATTTTTATTCTCGTTTTTACCAAATTTTGATTGTCTGATGGCATTCGGGTGGAGGTGCTACTACTTAAAAATTAAAATAAAATTCTCTATTCTTCAGGATTGTGTTGGGCTCAGTCCCTACTAAATCTCTGGTGATTTTTAGAAGATTGGAATTATTAAATTTAGAAGAAATAAATTTTTATTCTCGTTTTTACCAAATTTTGATTGTCTGATGGCATTCGGGTGGAGGTGCTACTACTTAAAAATTAAAATAAAATTCTCTATTCTTCAGGATTGTGTTAAGCTCAGTCCCTACTAAAACTCTGGTGATTTTCAGAAGATTTGAATTATTAAATTTGGCAGAAATAAATTTTTATTCTCGTTTTTACCAAATTTTGATTGTCTGATGGCATTCGGGTGGAGGTGCTACTACTTAAAAATTAAAATAAAATTCTCTATTCTTCATGATTGTGTTGGGCTCAGTCCCTACTAAAACTCTGGTGATTTTCAGAAGATTGGAATTATTAAATTTGGCAGAAATAAATTTTTATTCTCGTTTTTACCAAATTTTGATTGTCTGATGGCATTCGGGTGGAGGTGCTACTACTGAAAAATTAAAATAAAATTTTCTATTCTTCAGGATTGTGTAGGGCTCAGTCCCTACTAAATCTCTGGTGATTTTTAGAAGATTGGAATTATTAAATTTAGAAGAAATAAATTTTTATTCTCGTTTTTACCAAATTTTGATTGTCTGATGGCATTCGGGTGGAGGTGCTACTACTTAAAAATTAAAATAAAATTCTCTATTCTTCAGGATTGTGTTGGGCTCAGTCCCTACTAAATCTCTGGTGATTTTTAGAAGATTGGAATTATTAAATTTAGAAGAAATAAATTTTTATTCTCGTTTTTACCAAATTTTGATTGTCTGATGGCATTCGGGTGGAGGTGCATCTACTTAAAAATTTAAATAAAATTCTCTATTCTTCAGGATTGTGTTGGGCTCAGTCCCTACTAAATCTCTGGTGATTTTTAGAAGATTGGAATTATTAAATTTAGAAGAAATAAATTTTTATTCTCGTTTTTACCAAATTTTGATTGTCTGATGGCATTCGGGTGGAGGTGCATCTACTTAAAAATTTAAATAAAATTCTCTATTCTTCAGGATTGTGTAGGGCTCAGTCCCTACTAAATCTCTGGTGATTTTTAGAAGATTGGAATTATTAAATTTAGAAGAAATAAATTTTTATTCTCGTTTTTACCAAATTTTGATTGTCTGATGGCATTCGGGTGGAGGTGCTACTACTTAAAAATTAAAATAAATTTCTCTATTCTGCAGGATTGTGTAGGGCTCAGATCCTACTAGATGTCTAGTGATTTTCAGAAGATTAGAATTATTATATTTGGAAGAAATAAATTTTTATTCTCGTTTTTACCAAATTTTGATTGTCTGATGGCATTCGGGTGGAGGTGCTACTACTTAAAAATTAAAATAAAATTTTTTATTCTTCAGGATTGTGTAGGGCTCAGTCCCTACTGGATTTCTGGTGATTTTCAGAAGATTAGAATTATTATATTTGGAAGAAATAAATTTTTATTCTAGATGAAAATGAGTCCATATAACCTTCTTTTGAAAAATTGAAAATCGTTACGAATGCAAAGCTTCCTCAGGAGGAAGCAAAAATTGTTTAGAATTAAGCAAATTGATTAGAAATTACCAGAAGTGATGAAAGTTGATCAATTTGCTCAAACGTAATCAAACATAGTCAAAATTGACCAACAAAGAACAGAATTGTTCGAAAATGATGAAAATTTATCAGAAATGATCAAAATTGTCCAAGAGTGTTCAATAATGATCAGTAATAATAAAAGAAATGATCGAAAATAATTTAAAAAATTATCAAAAACAATCAATATTGATTTCAGGGTGTGAAGCGAACAGTCGAAGAGATTGAGGATCGAAAACTCCGTCTAATGGAACAATGCACTGCTCATAAGGAGGAGAACATGAGAATTTCACAATGTCTACAGGAATTTCTCGAGAAATATGCAAATCTACGATCATGGTTGAGCAGTATTGTCGAATCATTTCTACGTGGTCATCAGGATATGGGCAGTGATTTACGAATGGCAACGGATTTTTATCAATTACACTGTCAATTGTTGAATGACTTGGAGAAAAAAAGTTTCGAAGTACAAATGATCGATTGTAATGTGATGCAAAATGATGTGTTTCCAAATTTAGATTCAATTGTTCAACGTGATATTGACGAGAAAATGGAGGCTCTTCGTAATTCTTGGATTCTATCAAAGAAAGCACTCGAGGCACGCGTACGATTAGGTTCATTGTATGTTGATTTTCATCAGGCAGCTACGAATTTAGACGATGAACTCAATTTGTTTGAAATTGATCTCAAGAATAATGCGGAGAATTTGAATCAAGGGAAAATTGATCAACTTGAGGAGCGTTGGAGAAATTTGCAACCGTATTATTTACGTTTGACTGCAACTGGAAAAGCATTTTTGGATGAAGGGGAAAAAGTGAGATTTCTTTCTTTTTTGGTGATGAAAATTAAAGCTTTTGATTTACTGATTCAATTTTTTTGGAATTTTACAGATCACTGATTCTTATCTCGATGTGCCTAGAGCTTGTCTTTGTGTTGAAACAACTTTGGAACGATTTTCAACTCGGCAATTTACGATTACAAAGACCTGGGAGAATTGGCAGACGACAATTTCGATTTTGAAGGAGAGACGTGTTGAGAAGGAGAAACGATTGGAGGAAAGTACAAAGGTATTGGAATAATTTTCGAGTAATTTTTATTTAGAATTAGAAAATTTAGAGAAAATTTTGGTTCAGAATCAGATTTTTAAGTTGTGAAAAATTTATTTAATTTCTAGACTTTGGAGTGGGTTTCGAAATTTAGAGAGCAACTGTATCCAGTGATCACTTCCGAATCGACAGAACCTGCGATTATTCTTCACGATTTATCGAGTTCTCGATCACGTCTTCTTCCTGAATTGAATAAAGCTGTCTCGGAATTAGATGGAAGAATCAAAGGGATTGATGTTTTTGAACGTGGTATTTATTTACTTCTTCTATTCGCCTTGATCATTTCGAATTAAAATTAGAATTAGAATTAAAATCTAAGTCAAAGCGAGAATGAAAATTCGCGTTTGAATTTAAATTTTTCCAATTCAGGTGATGACTTCACTGATCAACAAATTAGGAATCAATTGTCACAAGTTTCAGAGCAATTACGATCAACTGCCGTTGATTATCAGACCCTCTTGGAATCACTGATCTCAGTTTTCGAGAATCTCTCGGAGGTGAATATTTCATTGATAATAATCATTAATATTTTTCTTTAATGACGAAAATATTCTTCTTTTAATTATGAAAACATTCTTCTTTAATGAAAAAAATATTTTTCATCAAAAAAATATTTTCTTTACTGAAGAACATTTCCTCTTGAATAAAAATAATTTTTCTCATCTCTATTTTTCTCTTTCTTCTTGTTCAGATTGAACGCAAGACTGATCAGCAAATCCGAAATCAAGACATTTCCCATCTCACTTATCAGCCAAAGGAAGCTGTTCGTGAAGTGAAGAATAAAATGGAACGTCATGAAATTGAATCAAAATCAATAACCGAAGCTATAACGAGAGTTGAATCAGAAATTGAGAATGTGATCCTGCGAATTGAGAGACAAGAGCCAGCTGATGCGGCTAGACAGGATATTCAAAAACTGAAACAAGCCTCTCATCATATCACTTCCGCCTGGAAATCCTCCTGGTCCACTGTGAAATCATCTCTGGTCAAGGATCTTCAAGTATCGACGCTCAGAGAAGAACTCGAAAAAATCGACAAAGAATTGAACGATCTCTTTGATCAATTGAAAATCATCAATGGCAATTTGGGAGAAAATTTACCATCAGCAATAAAAGCGTCGGAAAATTTTGTTCAATTCGAAAAAACCCTAATGGTAATTTACACGAGCAATAGAATCAATTTTTTATTATGTCGATTATGTAATTTCACTTCACTTCCCTTTCGATTTACACTTTTAATTCTATTTTCATTTTCTCTTTTAATTTTGTTTTAATTATTTTTTCACTTCCTTCAAATTTTTAATTTTCAGAGTATGGAAGCTAAAGTTGAATGCTTCATTGAGTCAATCGAGAGAAATATGCCAAAATATTCATCGATAATTCAACACGAATTATCATCTTTGGGAGAAAAAATGCAAAATTTAAAAACACAAACGGATGATATCAGAAATTGCAAGAATTTAAGTAGAGAATATTTTGAATTACTGGAAGAGACCAAGGACTGGTTTAAGGAAGGTAGCAAACTGTTGATAATTATTGCCAGAAAATCATCATCAGTCAAGTATCCACAAGAAGCAGTAGATATTTTGGACGACATTGATAAATTTCTAAAACCTGGCGAAGACAAACAGGAGAAGCGAATTGAACGTATTCGAGAATTGTCGACTAAAATTTTTGGTACGTTCTACAATAAAATTCTCAATCTATATCGAAATTAAAAACTTAATCTAAATTTTAAACTTAATAAACTAAAAGTGAAAACTAAATCTAAATTAAAAAATTTAATAAACTAAAATTTAATACTAAATCCAAATTTAAAACTTAATAGACTAAAATTGAAAACTAAATGCAAATTTAAAACTTAATAAACTAAAATTGAAAACTAATCAAAATTTAAACAAAGGTTCTAATACTTTATGAGTATTAATTAATTTTTATTGAACTGAATTTCAGGAACGGACAGGTTACCACAATTTAACGAATTGGTGATTGAGAATCGCAAAGTTCTCGACACGTTTGCAATAGTATCGTCCGAATTACGAACTCTGGTGGAAAATTTAAAGAAAGGGGAATATCTTCGCGTGAAAATGGAACAGGACGAGGTTGATGCCAAATTAGAGGAAGCAAATAAGGAAACGATTCAAGTTAACGCCTCTGAAGTTGAAAGCACACGAAAAATAATCGAAGCACCGAAAGAAACTATTTTGCCAAAAATCCAAATCGATAGCGAACGACATCAACAAACCGCTCAAACAGAAACGACAAATATAATCGACGAACGACTAATTAAAGAAACTATTCTCAAAGAAACATCAGCCATCACAACAAAGGAAATTCATATCCTTCAAAAGGTTCAAATTTCTTCCTTATCCTTTCTTCAGAAATTTTTCAATTTCTAAAAAAATAAATTAATTTTTTGAATGAACTTAAGAAAACAATTAAATCATTAAAATAATTTACTTTAATTAAAGTGAATTAATTTAATTTATTTCAATTAAAGTAAATTGTTAATTTACTTTAATTAAAGTAAATTATTTTAATGGCTACATTTTAAAATATTAAAAACCATTTTTTTTATCTATTTCATTTCTATTGTTAAATATAAATTAATTTCTAGACTGAATTTGAGAAGACAATGGAACCAATAGTACAAGTTGATGGAGAAAATGAACAAATTGAATTAAAGAAGGAATTTTCACAACTTTTGGAAATTCCACGATTCACTGTAAAATTGGATAATGCAATAATACAGGAGGGTGAGCAGTATGTATTTAAATGTCACGTGGTGGGCATACCGGAACCGGAAATTTGTTGGCATAAAGATGGAATGTCGATAATCAATAATCCTGATTATTTGACTGATTACAATCAGGGGACTTGTACACTAACTATTGAAGAAACATTCACTGAGGATTCGGCTAAATTCACCTGTAAAGCTACCAATGAAGCTGGATCAGCTGAGACTGAAGCTATATTGACTGTGAAAGGTTTGTATTTTTTTTTAATTTTCGTTTTCCAAATAATCAGAATAATAATTAGAATTAGAAATGGAAATAAGAGTCCAAATTAGAATTAGCGTTAGAATTAGAATTTGAGTCAGAGTTATAACTTGAATTAGAATTAAGTTTCGAATTGGAATTAGTCAAAACTAGAATTAGAATTGAATTAAAATTAAAAGCGAATTAGAATTGGATGAGACTTATAAACAGAATTGGAATCGAAAGTAGAATTGGAATCGGAGTCGAATTAGAATTAGAATAGGAATTATACTCAGAATTAAAATTAACTTTTCAATTAAAATTGGAATCAGAGTTATAAATTGAATTAAGAATTAAATTTAGAATTAGAATCGGTCAAAACTAGAATTAGAATTTAATTAGAATTAAAACTGAATTAGAATTAGAAGAGAAATATAATTCAGAATTGGAATTAGAAGAGAAGTATAATTCAGAATTGGAATTAGAATTAGAATTGAAATCAAAATTCACAATCAGAATTAGCGTTAGAATTAAAATTAGATCTAACAATTATAACTAGAATCAAAATTAGAATTGGAGTCGGAGTCAAAATTGAAATTAAATTAGAATCAGAATTTTATTCAGAATCATAGTCCGAATTAGAATTAGCACTGGAATTGGAATTAAAATTAAAGTGAGAATTAAAATTAGAATTTCAATATCTACAACTTCAAAGTAACTTCAACTTTGATCATCCAACATGTTTGGAGCATCAAAATTTCCTTTAGCTTAACAATTTTTAGCTTCAAAAATCCTTTTAGCTTTAAAAAGTTTTGGTTCCAAAAATATCTTCATCTTTAAAATGTTCTCATCTTCAATGAAAATATAGCACTGAATTCAAATAAAATTTTCCAGAAACTGCAGCCGAAGATCTTCCAAGAGCTCCGAATTTCATAAAAGAACTTCAATCATCAATAACAACTGAAGGATCTGCCTACGAGTTGAATTGTAAAGTAGACGGAAATCCATTGCCAACCGTTCTCTGGTACAAGAACGAAACTAATATTGATAATTCACCGGACTACATCATCACGTACAATAATGGCGAGGGAATATTGAAATTTGAGCAAATATTCATGGAAGATCAGGCTAAGTACACTTGTAAGGCGACAAATCGTTTGGGTGATGCTTCCACTTCCTGTTTCTTGACCATTCAACGTGAGTTGAATTTTTTCATCAAAGTTTAGACTATAATAGTTTTTTTCAGCATTTATTATTTATTACTAGTATTAATTTTTCTTTATATTAATTCTGATTCCTCGTGGAGAAAGCTTTTTTTGTTATTATTAATTTGGATTACTATTAATTTTTATTATTGTTAGTATTTATATTTATTATTATTTTTTTAAACAATTATTTAAAAAAATGTTTCAGCACGAGTGGAGAAAATGGAAGAAACACAAAAACCGGAAATCACTCTTGCTCCGGTGGATGTAGAAGCAAAAAGTGGAGAGAAGATACAATTGGATTGCGAGGCAACTGGAAAACCGGTGCCGGACTTCAAGTGGATGATTGATGGAAGACCAGTCGAAGAGACTAGTGATCTGAAGGTGAATGATTCTGGATTTCAATGATCAATGAGTGAAAAAGAATTTATTCTTTGATAAATACTTTTTTTGTTTCTTCCTTCATTGATTATTCTGTTTTCTTCATTTTTATTTCTTCTCTTTTTTGCTTTATTCGTTTTCATTATTATTTTATCATCATTTTCGTTTCTTCATTAGTTTACTTCTTCTATTTCTTCATCTTGTTTTCTTTCTTCAATTTTTTCTTTATTTCTTTCTTCGTTTTCTTCTTCATTTCCCTCTTTATTTCTTTCTTCATTTCTTCTTTATTTGTTTATTCATTTCTTTCTTTATTTTCTTCTTTATTTCTTTCTTTATTTCTTCCTTCATTCATAAAGAAGGAAATGAAGAAAGAATAAAGTAGGAAATGAAGAAAGAAATAAAGTAGTAAATGAAGCAGAAAGAAATAAAGTAGGAAATGAAGAAAGAAATAAAGTAGGAAATGAAGAAAGAAATAAAGCAGGAAATGAAGAAATAAATATAGAAGGGAATGAAGAAAGGAATAAAGAAGAAGAAAGGAGAAGAATGAAACGATTATTCAATATTCATAGTAAAAATTAAAAAAAAAATGATTCAATATTGAAAATTGATTGATCGTGACAGTTAATTGTTGCCAATGTTGTTGATCCATCAGTTAAAATCGATGTGATTCAAAGCAGTATTTTTAGCGACTTTCAAACACAATGGTATGCGCGTCTCATGCAAAAGAAACAAAACAAATAGAGATTTAATTGTAGACAAGAGAAAATAATCTTCTCAAGGTCCACTCAATACCCTTTGCGCAGATCGACACGAATGGAGGGAGATCGAGTCTCAGCATTGCCCAAGTATTACCAAAAGACACCGGAAGTTATTCAGTGATTGTGAAAAATTCCTCTGGTGAAATTACTGCTAATTGTAAAATTTCTGTGAAAACACCACAAATACCAGTGAATGATACAAATAGTTCGGGCGCATTATTTACTGATATGGAGCCAATGGTGCCCAGTATTCAACTTCCGCTCAAGGATGTTCAAATCAAGGAGGGAGAGAGTGCTCGATTGGATTGTATTATTGTTGGACATCCTGAACCCGAGGTACTGTTTTTTTAGGCACAAATTTTTTGGAGAGGTTGATGATGATGATTAGATTAATGTTGATGACGATATTGTGTTGATGATGATTAAGATGACGTTTCTTGTAATAATGATTGTCAAGATGATCAAGATTCTTGTATTTACGATTATCAAGATGATCAAGATCCACAGAATGATCAAGTTCCTTCCATTGATGATGATCGAGTTGATCAAGATTCTTGTATCGATGTTCGATGATGATAAAAATTGATTCAATGATGATGATTATTATTTTGTTGACGATCAAGATCAAGATTCTTGAATCAATGATGATAAAGATTCTTGTTCCATTGATAATCAACATTTTTCCATTAATTATGATGATGATAAAAAAATCTTGTGTCGATAGTGATGAAGACTATTCTGTTCATGATGATGATGATGATGATCAAGATTTTTCTAACGATGATCATAACGATTTTTGAGTTGACGGTGACAAAGATTCTTGTATTGATCATAATCAAAATTCTTGTATCGATAATAATCATGATTCTTTTATTGATGATGATAAAGATTGGTAATCAAGATTCTGGTACCAATGACAATGAAGACTTTTGTCCTATTGATGATTAATTTTTTTTGTGTTGATCATGATGATGATCAACATTCTTGTAACGAGGATGATAAAGATTCTTGTGTCGACGGTGACAAAGATTCTTCTACTGATCATGATCAAGATTTTTTTATTGATAGTGATAAAGATTTTTGTGACGTTGGTGATCAAGATTCTTGAATCATTGATGATACAGAATTTTGTTCTATTGATGATCAATATTTTCGTATTCGTGATGATCAAGATTCTAGAATCAACAATGATCAAGATTCTAGTATCGATAGTGATACAGATTCTAGAATCAATAATGATCAGTTTTCTCGTGCTGTTGGTGATGAAAATTATTGTATCGATGATGATCATTTCATCAATCTTTGATAATAATAATAATCATGATAAAAATAGAAATCAATCCTGGATTGTTCAAAAATAATAACCACCATGATACGAATGGTGATCATTCCTTGATCCTTTAGTATTAATCGTCATCATAATGACATCAATGATCGTTTCCTGATAGTTCAATAAATTATTATTGATCATAATCAACATCATAATGACAACAGTATTATTCCTTGATCATTCAATAATAACAATGATCATAATGACAGTTGTGCCAATAATGACAATGATTAATAATTTCTTCGTAGTCCAATTATAAAAGTCATGGTAACGGTAATGGTGATCATTCTTTTGACGCAGGTCATTTGGTACCACGATGATCGGCCTGTGAAGGAATCAGCCGACTTTCAATTACTCTTCCAAGGAGACAGGTGCTCATTGGTCATCCACGAGGCTTTTTTGGATGATTCAGGTCTCTACAAAGTTGTCGCCATCAATTCCAGCGGCGAGGCTTCCAGTGATTGCTCACTGTCAATTTCACGTGAGTTCATTTCCACCTCTTTACCAAAAAAAATCATTTTTACCTTTTCCTTTCTTAAACTATTAATCCACAGCTCCAAATTAATTTCAATCTGATGATTAATAAACCAAATTAATATTTTCGTAAGAAATATACTTTAAATGATCTCTAAAATATTCTCGTTATCAAATACAGCGAGAGAATCGAAACAAAAATCCGAATCACCACCTGTATTCGTCAAATTGCTGACTGATCTACTAGTGGCTGAAGGTGAAGAATCAGTCTTCGAGTGCTTAATAACCGGCGAACCGAAACCGGAAATCAAATGGTACCTGAATGGAGATGAAATTGTTGAAAACGAAAGGATCAAGGTAATGATGTTGATAATGATAATGATGATAATATTGATAACGATAATAATTATGATGTAGATAATAATAATGATAATGTTGATCATGATGATCATAATGATGATAATGTTGATCATGATGATCATAATGATGATAATGTTGATCATGATGATCATAATAATGATAATGTTGATCATGATGATCATAATGATGATAATGTTGATCATGATGATCATAATAATGATAATGTTGATCATGATGATCATAATGATGATAATGATGATCATAATTATCTGAGTAATTTTTCGATGGAAAGAATTTTAATTAAAATGAAATTGTTTGTAGATCACACAAGAGGAGAATGGTACGCACGTTCTGCGGATATCGTCCACTCTTCCGAATGATAAGGGAAATTATACTGCCAAGGCAACGAATCATCTTGGTGAAGCAAAGGCATTTGCTCGGCTAGTGGTTCGAGTTCTTGGGGATTTTCAAAAGAAGGACGAGTTTGTTCGAATGGAGGAAAAATTATTGGAACCGTCGTTCAAGGAGCGATTTGAAAATAAAAGCGTCATGGAAGGTGTACCTGTTAAATTCGAATGCATCGTGTCTGGAAAGCCTGTTCCCAAGGTAAATTTTATTTTGAAAGTCCTTCAAGTTAAGTAGATCTTCTATCATCACGACTATGATTAATATCATCATGATTATGATTACTATCATTAAGAGTATGATTACTATCATCAAGAGTATGATTACTTTCATCAAGAGTATGATGACTATCATCAAGAGTATCATTACCATCATCCTAATTATATTTACTATCACTACGAGTATGATTACCATCATCCTTATTATGATTAATATCATCATGATTACTATCATTACGAGTATGATTACCACCATCCTAATTGTGATTACTATCATCATGATCATGTTGATTAGTAATCACAATGATTTCTACCAACATAATCATAATGATAGTAATCGTGATGATAGAAATCATAATCAACCTTATAATCATAAGCATGAAGAAAATCATAATCATCATGATAGTAATCACAATAATTTCGATAACAATAATCATTAGATCATCTCTAGTCGATCATCATATGTTACCAAATAACTCAAATGCATCACAAAGCATAATGAAAAAACTATCAGATTTTTATGATTCGACGATTATCATCATTCTAATTTTATGATTATCGCGATCATGATAGTCATGATAAGAATGATGATCATATTATAAATTTAATATTATATTAATAAAGTGATCCTAGGGAATTATAAATAATAATAAATTGCCCTAGGGAAATAAACCTGCGAGTAAGGTAAATAACTTACTAATTAATACCCTAGGGCAATAATGGTCACTTTATTGACCGCTAGACTATAAAGAAGGACTTATGATAAGGAAAGAAATAAAAATATAAAAAATGAGAGTGAAAATCTTGTTACAGTTTGAAACAAAAATCCTAATTATTGATGACTTTAATGAATCTAAAAACCAGGAAATATTCTCAAGTAGCAATTATAAAACTGAAAGAATGCGAAATGAAGATTTCCGATGGCCAAGAAATTGACAGAGACATATTGCACTTTATTCTACATTCGTAGCATGCCAAAAAGAGCTCTTCACTGTTCTCTTATCCCATATATTCTATCTAGATCAATTCTTGTTCATCTAAGGCCAGTCGACTAAAAGTTCGTGCGAATCATGCTTCTATTGGTATTTTTTGTCTCACTAATTTTTGTAAGTAATCTCTCGCGTGTCTCTATTCATCTTTGGATTGGTCCACGACAATGTTTCACTTTTTCTTAGAAGGCAAGGGGGGGAGTGTCACGTGTTCAAAATATTATACTGTCATCTTCTATTCTACTCTTCCTATTATATACCTAAAATCTTATTTCCTACAAAATCCTACTTCTAAATTTTTTCTTTTGTTTATTTACTTTTTTTTGACTTTTTTCTTCTTTATCCTCTTTTTTTCCTCTTTTTTTCTTTTTTAATTTTAATACTAAATTATTCTCAATTAACGATCATATAATGATCCAAAAATAAGTGATTTTAATTATAAACTATCGCGGAAGTTGCTCCATTACATAATGTGTTGATTTGAAAAGAAAATGTTGATGTTTGAGAAAAATTTGCCACGTATTAAAAATATAAATACCTAAGTGAAATATTTTTTTTGGAATTAAAATGAAAAGTGATTGGAAGAAATTAAATTAAAATTTCAGATTCAGTGGCTATTCAATAATCGACCAGTGCATGGCAAGGATTTTTTGGTATCAGTCAGTGGAGAACGTCAGGTGTTAAGCATTCCACAAGCAGCGGAAACTCACAGTGGTATTATTTCCTGTGTTGCTGAGAACGCGACAGGAAAAGCTATTTGCAGCGCACAACTAGATGTTGGTAAGTGGAAAAAAAATCTGTTGTGTATATTTTTAATTTTTCCGTGGTTCAAATTTCATAAGAGAACTTTAACCTCTCGACCTACACTGATTTTTCTTCCTCCCTCATTGGCGTCAAATTAAAAAAAAATTTCAAATTTTCATCAGCAGTTGCTTTTTGATGTTATTAATAATTGATATTCAGGCTAATAATTGCACTGGAACAATTATTATTCATTATTATTAATCATAATTTAATAAATTATTAAACTTTTAATATGCTTTTAATCAACAGTCTAAAATTGAATCAGTTAATTGATATTTTAACTAATTTGAATCAGTGACTGTTGTTTTTGCTTTAAGATCAGTTCAAATTTACTGATTTATTAGTAGAACATTTATTTATTGATGAAATATACTCTGATTCAGATTTAGAGTGAAATAAATTTCAAATTATAAATAGAAAATTGTTTGACTGATGAATCAGTAAATTTTAACTGATTTGATTGAAAAAAATAGTCACTGATTTAAATCAGTTTAATCAGTAGGATTATTACCTATCATTTTCATAGAAAGAAAATTTCAGAAGAAATTGTAGAAAAACAGTAGAAAATGTTTACTGATAAATCAGTAAACTTTAACAGTTTTGATAGAAAAAAGTAGTTACTGATTAAAAGCAATTAAAATTTTTACTGATTCAGTCTATTCTTAACTGATTATTCGTCAAGGTTTAGTTAATCGGTCTGATTATTAATATTAAATTAATTATTTTTCACTAAATATTATTAAATATATTAATATGAATTCTGATTATTATTCAATATTAATATTTAACTTAATATTCGTTATTGATCAGCTAATCTATAAAAAGTAAAAAGTTTATCCCGTGATTATTAATGAATAATTGATTAAATGATTATTAAAAATTGATCAAATTATTTTCAAGAATGAATTAAATGATCAACAAGTGATTATTAAGAACCTGTTGAATAATTAAAAATTGATCAAATAATTAAGATTTGATGAACAATTTATCTAATATTCATCAAGAATTGATCAATTTATTATCAGCTGTTTATCTGACTAACTAGTTTCCAAGTTTTCTATTATTAAGAGTTTTCAATTCCCTTTGGATATTAGTTTACTAGTTTTTTAGTTTTCGGAATAAAAATTCCGAATTATCTGGTGATTTACGGAATAAATCACGTTGTTAGCATTTAATTAACTTCTTATCGGGTTATCATTACAAATCACCAATCAATAATTTAGTAATCAGTATTATTAATCATTGGCAAATACTCAGTCAGTTTTTAATCAGTAATGATCAATTATCAGTAATTACTAGTAATTAACAATTATCAGTAATTACTAGTAATTATCATTTACTACTAGTAATAATCAGTAATCATTCATTATCAATAACTACTAGTAATAATAATTAATAATCAATTATCAGTAACTACTAGTAATAATCAGTAATCATCAATTATTATCAGTAGGGGAATGTAGTCAAGGTTGGTCTACTGTCTAGGTAGGCCACTCGCGTTTTTTTGTCAAGTTCACTAGCGCCACATACGCGCATAATTGTCGAAGCTTGTCTTAGTGAAACCTAACTTTTTGTTCAATTACATTTTCGGAAAATAAAAAATTGTGTTTTCTGTGACGTCGGTACAAAAAAAGCTCAAAAAAAGTTTTGTGCATAATGTGAAAAACCATTAATAAAAGATAAAAAACAAATTGAATCGTCAAGGCAAGTATGCAGAAAATTTGTGGGACTCATGGTTGAAAGAAAAACAAAGTAAAAAATCGAATCCCGAAACGTATTTCTTTATGGTTACAACAATTCGGTAATGTTACTTACTGTCAAGGTTGGCCACTATGTGTTTAAAATGCGCAAAGATGAGGACGAGCTACTTCATTTGCAAAAACTGCAATTCTGTATAACTCATAATATAATTGATCATCTTATTAATATTTTTATTTAATTTTATTAATATTTTAGTGCAAAATTTTTTTTTATTTATATTTATTTTTTTATATTGTTTATTGTTATTATTTTGTTATTTCATTAAGTTACAAACTGTAAACAATAAAGAATCAATTTTCCGTAACTCCAAACATGTTATTTTATTTTTTAAAGATTAATGCCCTTTGAATTTTAACCCTTTCACACCCAGCCATAACTGGACGGTTAAAAAAACGTAAGTGTAACGTTATTCATAGTTTTCGGGGTCGCTGATTACGAATCTGATATCAGAATTATAACATTTTTTTAATTCAAAATGGCGTATCCAATATGGCGGGCAACTTTTTTACAGATTGATCGGATTGGCTTGGAAATTATTACTCGGGGGTTTTTGAGGTCGCTGATTACGAATATGACATCATTTTTTAAAAATTCAAAATGGCGGATCCAAGATGGCGGACGATTTCTTTTAAATCGTTTATTTTTACCAGAAACTTGTTACTCGGGGGTTTTCAGGGTCGCTCAATACGAATCCGGTGTTATATTTTTAAAATTCAAAATGGCGGATCCAATATAGCGGACGTTATTTTTAAAATCGTTTAGTTTCACTAGAAACTTGTTACTCAGGGGTTTTCGGGGTCGCTGATTACGAATCCAGTGAGAGTAGAAAGAAACAAGTCCATCTACTGACAGAAATAAATAAATACACAATCGCAATTTTAAAATAAACTACAAATTCGTGATAAGAGACCATAAAAACCCTTGAGTGACAAGTTTCCCTCTAATCCAAACAATTTTTACATTTGTCGTCCGCCGTATAGGATCCGCCATTTTGAATTTTTAAAAATTAACACTTAATTCGTAATCAGCGACCCCGAAAACCCCCGAGTAACAATTTTCAGGTGAAATTAAAATGTTTAAAAATAATCTTCCGCCATCTTGGAACCGTCATTTTGAATTTTAAAAAACTGATATTATATTCGTAATCAGCGACCCTAAAAACCCCCGAGTAACAAGTTTCATGCCAATCCGTTTAATTTTTACATTTGTCGTCCGCCATATTAGATCCGCCATTTTGAATTTTGAAAAACTAGCACCGGATTCGTAATCAGCGACCCCGAAAACCCCCGAGTAACAATTTTTAGGCGATTTTAAAATATTTTAAAAATTCATGATTTTTAACAATAATTTATGAATTTTTTTAAACAATAGGAATTTTTTAACATGATCTAGGTTACTTATTTTTAAAGCCTTATTCTTCCTGAAGAGAACGCACGAAATTAGATTCAAAAATATTAAGTTTTTTCAAAGATATTGAGGTTTTTGTAGGTGGGACGTATATGTCCCATGGGCGTGAAAGGGTTAAACATGGCCGACCTTGACTGTAATGGCCAACCTAGACTACAAATTTTTTTTTTTTTAAATCTTTATAACTTTTTCATTTTTAAACCTGTCAATTTACTTTGTACAGAAAAAATGTTCCTATTAAACAGGACTTTCCAACCATATACTTCAATTGTCCAAATTCATTTTTAAAAAAAAGTTATAAACAATAGTCAAAAAGGTGGCCGACCTAGACTATGTTCCCCTAACTACTAGTAACAATCAGTACTCATCAACTATCAGTAATTACTAGTAATTATCATGAAAATATAATTACAAATCATCATTAAAAAATTTAATAATTCAATGTAGCTAACTAATTACAGTTTATTAAATGATTATTATTAAACAATTAATTTTGAATCAGTAATTATCAATTATCAGTAAATAATTATTAGTAATTATTAGTACTGATCAGAAATTATCAAAAACTATAAGATATCCATTATCATCAATTAACTAATCAGTTATCAGTTGGACCTGTTGATTCAAAAAATGGAAATAGTTGAATAAAAAATTTTCAAAAAGTTGATCATCAACAACGGAATTACCATTAAAATGGGAAAATCATTATGATTTTGCTATTTCGACCTTTAATTAATGTAAAAACTTCTTTTAATTAATATCAAATGTTGAAGAAGTCGAAAAAAATTTTTTTCAAAAACACTGGAAATTTAATGTATATAATCCAAACATCATCAGAGAGATTATTTGCCAAAGAAATTACGCGAAATATAGTTAAAGGAAATAATTTCTGGGAAAAAAAAGTTTAAAGAGAGAATTTTTAGAATTCTTTTCTTTTCCCAATAAAACTAAATGCCTTGAAATGAATTGGGAAGACCGAGCTCTTTTACTACTTTTACCATCGTTAAAACGGGGTTGCGCTCCACCGTTCGGTAGCCAAAATAACGTTGAAGCTCGCAGAGTTATTAATACTCGTGGTACCTTCATTCACCATTGGCGTGTCGAATTTACTAGAGAGAGAATCGAAACTTGGATTTGAGGACGATGAAAGTAGGATAACGTAACATGATATATCAAATTACTATTTTAATATATTGCAAAAACTGGTAAAATAAAATTACAAAATAAATGCTGTAATAATTTACCTTTTTGATTTTGCAATATTTAGAAGTATTATTGTGCAAGTTTTTGAACAACATTTTTCACACAAACACATTTTGTTTTTCAATTTATGAAAAACACGGTAAAATTTATTGTTTGTTTAATTTCACATTTCTTTTAAATGCATCATTTTAGTATGCATTATTGTAGAGAGAGAATACAGTTTTTTCTCCCGAAATTAATGTGGAAAAACGATTCGAGGAGGTGATAAAATTCTGGAACTTGTTGATCGAATAATTTTCCCTGCAATGCGTAACTCGCCAAGAATGCATGTTGGTATATATTTTTACAGTTGAATCATGTTTTAAAAACACAAGTTTTAAATTTTTTTAAACGATCATCAATTTTATTTTGCAATTTTATTTCGCTTTTTGAAGATTTTTTTTTTTTGCTTTGCAGGGGAAAAAATTCATCATCTTAAAGTGCGATCGTTCAAATCAACGACAATTTTTTTCCTGTTAGAAAATTATTTTTTGTTTTGGTATTTTATTCTTCTGTATGTAAAAATTTTTTTTACTTTCGCAGAGAAAAAAAATTCATGTTCATAA